AGCCTTCGGTGTCAAACCATTGACGAATATTGGTGAGGTGCAAAGGATGGAAAGGGTAATATATGCTGGTATTACTTTATGAAATAGTTTATCGTTCAATGAGGGCATCGAACTTCGTCTATAGGTGGTGGAGTTGTGAGACACAAAATCCACATGCCCCAAAGTGGAGCCAAAAGGGTGCCACGTGGTAGTGACTGAAGCGAAAGCCAAACAAGCATAACACGTTTGGACTAAAAGCTCTGACTTAAAAGGTCGAGAGTGGAACTCCCAACAAAGTGCTCAAAGAACGACTATGAAACAAGCAATAAGTGAGCCTCTAGATTACAATGTGAGTATACCCAAATTGAGGAACCACTCCTTAGGCTGTTGGGTAGGTTCATCCCTATGAGGACACAAGAAGACCAACACATAACACGTGGCAGAGTCCGAGATGGACCTGAGATAGAGTCCTAGATGGACCCGAGATGGACCCAAGATGGAGTCTGAGATGGAGTCCAAGATGGAGTCCAAGATGGAGTCCGAGATGGAGTCCGCGATGGACCCGAGATGGACCCGAGATGGAGTCCGAGATGGACCCGAGATGGAGTCCAAGATGGAGTCCGAGATGGATCCGAGATGGAGTCCGAGATGGACCCGAGATAGAGTCCAAGATGGACCTGAGATGGAGTCCGAGATGGACCAAGACGGAGTCCGAGATGGAGTCCGAGATGGACCTGAGATGGAATCCAAGATGGAGTCCGAAAAGGATCTGAGATGGAGTCCGAGGTCGAGACCGAGACTGGGACCGAGACTGAGACCGAGACCGAGACCGAGATCGAGACCGAGACCGAGATGAGGTCGAGGCTGAGATCGAGCCTTAGCCTGAGTCTGAGAGGGTGAAAGCCCAAAGCGTTTGTCTCCCAGACCCTCATATACCCGAACTGATCATCACAACGTAACACAATACTGAAATCTTTCTCTGGCCTGGAAATCAACCAAGCGTACCCACAAGGCCCACGTAGGGCCACGGTGTTCCGAAATGTTGTCCCAAAGTCCCAAACTATGGAAAGGAAGAAGGATAGCCCTCTAGTGTTGACCAAGGACACAATCACACAGTGAGGAAGTCCTAGAGGACAGTGGGACTTAGTGGTTGGGACTGTGGGCCTTGATCCAGTGACAATGTTGGCGAACACGGCCAAGGACAGAAAAGGACTTGGTAGGGACCGGAATGGAGATATTGGGGAAGGCCATGTCTGTAGGCATCTTAAGGATGCTAAGGAGTGGATCTAGGGTGCCCACTCATGGACGAATAGCCCAGTCTTGGAGAGACGGGATTGCAATGCAAGTGGTGTTAGACCACCAATGTGACCAAAGTGAATGGGTGTGGCCTAGCGTAATGGGCTGATATGTCAATAGTACCTTGGGGTGTTGGTTATGGGATCGGACACGTTAAGCACTTAGACCAAGTGCAAAGGTTGAGTGGCATGGATGCCATTCTTGGGGCCACCAAGTCCTAACTAGGACTTATGGAAGTTGTGAATGAGACTCCTCCAAGTGGTTGGATGTGCAGTTAAGTGACTAAAGTAAAATGGAAAAATTAGTCGCTTACAGACTCCAATGAAGCCAGTTTGGCCCAGGAAGGATGTGCTCAGGTGTTAGGTGATGGGATAACCACTGGGAAGTCCAAGGCTAAAGTGATTATGGACTAACAAGTGGGGTAGCTTGGTGAAGTGTTCAAGAGCCAGCTCTAGTTCCCCCGGGAGATCGAATGGCCGATGCTCCCTGTCCAAGTGTGGGTGGCACTACCTACTTGGATACCTAATGTGGCTCAACAGAACCTCACTCTAAGCCCATGGCTAAAGCACCAAAAGGCAGAAGGTGGGGAGAGTACCCATGAGGCTCGCGTAAGGCCACAGTGTTCCGAAATGTTGTCCCAAAATCCCAAACTGTGAAAAGGAAAAGGAGCAATCCTCTAGTGTAGTGACTAAGGATATGGTCACATGGTGAGGAAGTCCCAAAGGACAGTGGGACTTAGAGGTCGGGCCTACAGGCTTTGTTCCAGTGGCAATGTTGGCAAACACAACCATAGACAGAAAGGGACTTGGTGGGGACTGAAAAAGGGATATTGGGGAAGGTTGTTCCCCATGTCTACGAACATCCTAAGGATGTTAAGGAGTGGATTTGGGATGACCACTCATGGATGGATAACCCAGTCTTGGAGAGATAGGACTGTGATCCAGGTGGTATTGGACCACTAGTGTGGCAAAGGTGATAGGGCATAGCCTTAGCGTAATGGGCTGATATGTCAGTGGTACCTTTGAGTGTTGGTCATGGGATCGGACACATGGAGCACTTAGACCAAGTGCAAAGGTTGAGTGGCAGGGGTGCCATTCTCGGGGTTAGCAAACCCCAAGTCTGGAATAGAACTTATGGAGGTTGTGAGTGAAACTTTTCCAAGTAGTCAAAGAGGTGGTTAAGTGATTAAAGTGAAATGGAAAATTTAGTAGCTTACACAAGCAAAACTTTATAGGTATATACCCACTAGACTTGGGATTGCATATGGCCTCAAAGCCAAGAAAGTAGGAGACTTGGACAAAGTCCTTCATCTAGAATTATTGGCTGAGAGAAGCTTTCGAAACAACAATGGCATTAGGATCATCATTCACAATTAGCAAATCATTAATGTAAAGGGCCACAACAAATATAGTCCCAGATGACTTTTCGTATAGCATGGCAGCAATAAAAGCCTTGAGTACAAAAGGTAGCATCAAATTTTTGATACCAAATGCATAAGCTTTTATATAAAACTATCCACAATTGCCATACAACTCCACTAAGGGCAATATTGTCCTAGAGGCATGTGCATGTATATATCCTTTTGCAAATCCCCATTCAAGAATGCCATCTTAACATTCATATAGTGGACTTGCTATTTACAAGCAGCCACAAGCACAAAAAGGGTATGGAGGCTGACCATTTTGACAACCAATGAAAATGTTATATCATAACCATATGCATATCTGATGAAGATGAATTTCTTTTTGGGATCTAACTTTTATCAAAGTTGATCAAGGATATGCACATAGAAAGTGGGACATATTAGGACTAGAGTCTATCCAAAATGCCTGCCATCTAAAGCAACCATGGCATGCAACAACTTGAGCAGCATGGCCATGTCCAAGAACCTTGTCCAACATGCTAGCTCCAAGCACATTGAAGTCCAATTTCACTACAAGTGTGGCTAGTCGATGGCAGCACCCATCACCAAGCCATTGGAGCCACACTAGTTTCAGCTCCTGCATGACAGATTTGGTTTGGTGAGTGACACTCCTCACCAAGTAGAACCCGAGAAAGCACCGTCCAAGCGGCTGCTGCTACCAGATGGGAGGTACATAGCTTACAGAGAGCTAGGGGTCAGTGTAGAAAAATCCAAGCACTCTGGATTAGTGGTACGGGGATTCACAGCTTTTAGAGAGACAGGTACCATGTCCTTTTGTGCGCCTTTTCTCTCCAACTTGTGCTAACATATGATTTTTTATGTAGGCATTCCCGGACTGAACGATTCTTTGCTGGAACAGTTTCAAGTTCGTCTGATCATATACGACTTGCCGGGATTCGGACTGAGTGATCCTAATCCCAATAGAACATTTAACTCTTCCGCACAGGACATGGAACTCATTGCCAACGCACTGAGACTCAGCGAGAGGTTTTGGTTGCTGGTACATCCTGGTGGCGGTCCCTATGCGTGGGCAGCATCAGATATATTCCAGAGCGACTATCAGGTGTGATCTGTGCTTTCTGCATTATCTAGAAAGGTAAAAACCTGAAAGAGTTGATGCGAATTTTTTAACCTGGCTTGGTTTGCATGCACAGGTGTTGTGATGCTGGCTCCAGTTGGAAACCCGTCTAAGGCCGGGGACGTGAGTGAGATCGAGGAAGATGGAACTGATTCTGAGGAACTGTTGTCCGGATGGAGGTTCCTAGCACGAGTTCTTGGCATCGGCCGATTTTTTCCCATTCGAAAGGAGTTGAAGAAGAAGATAACAAAGATACACAAAGGATTGTATACGACGGTAGCTGACAAGGTAAGGAAAGGACTTTCTGTTTTCAGTTTTCAGCCATGATGCGTGTCTTTCAGGAACAAGTTTTGTTCGAGCAGAGGGAATTTATAAATTTTTGGGAGCAAAACCTTCGCTACACAGCACCAGACGCAGTCCCGAGAGCAGCAGCAGCGCCTAAACCGCCAGCGGCTGAGAGACGGAGCCACCCTGATTTTAGCAAGTTTTTCAAGATCAGGCTCAAGTTTCCTTCAGTGCCAGTGCGTCCCGCGTTCCGACTTGTGAAGAGCTTCACAATGTGGTGGTGGCCGAGACAAACTAAGAAGGAGCCAACGGATGATGCTGCTGTTGCTCCTGATGCTGCCGCCAGCTTTGGAACGCCGTTGCCTCCAAATCTACTGAGTGAAGCCTTCAAACTCAAGGTCGTCTTAGTCGTGGTGCTGCTGGTGATCTCGCTCTTGGTCCTCAGATAACGCACCCACACCTCTCTAGAGCCGAGGTATGGTTTAACACCTCTCATTTGTTCGCTTCGCTGTATAAAATATAGATGTCTGACACTCGAGTCTTTGTCCCGTCATCTTTTACGTTTTATCTTTTCTGCTTGCAGCAGAGACAGACAGACACTGATGCCTCACTCCGAGACAAGAGTCGTATCAGAGGACCAAATTACACCTATGGATTGTTTTAAGCTGTCACCAGAAAGGTACTTGAACCGCAAGTTAATTTCTCACAGTTCTTTTCCCTTCTGTAGGAGATAACGCAAGAATCTACCGCAAACATAATCTTGACTCGAGGATTGGCGCGAGACCGTCAGAAGGGATGGTGTTTATAGAGGTCACGACAAGTTTTCTGATCTTTTGTGGCAGGCACGCTGGAGTCGTGGGCCGCTAATTATTTACCCGTACAAAAGCCTCTAACTTAGAGACTTCTAAGGTGCCTTAACGAATATCCACCGGCTCGCTGGCATATATCTTCAGAGAACTGGTGTTGTGCCTTGTATTTTCTGAGCTTCTCTTTTGTGCGAGTAGTAGCCATGTCGAAAGACAGTGTGAAGCTCTTGAACTTCTGGCCGAGTATGTTTGGCTTGAGAGTCCACTATGCGCTGGATCTGAAAGGGGTGTCCTACGATTACCAGGAGGAGAGTTTGCTCAACAAGAGCAAGGAGCTTCTCGAGGCAAATCCAATCTACACGAAGATTCCGGTTCTCATCCACAACGGCAAGCCTATCTGCGAGTCTCTCGTCATCGTCGACTACATTGACAGTGTGTGGCCCGGTTCTCACAAGCTCCTCCCGGAAGATCCATACGAAAAGGCTGTGGCTCGCTTCTGGGCAGATTTTGGTGACAAAAAGGTAAACTTGTTGCTTCTTCCGGGTTGATCAAAACCAGATTTTTCCTTACCAACAGCTCTATGACGCCGGGAACCGACTCATACGAGCTATGGGGGAGGAGCACAAGAAAGCCGGCGAGGACTTCAAGTGGGCTCTGATGAAAATCGATGAAGCTCTCGGCACCATCGCTCCAGGCAAGCCTTTCTTTGGCGGCGACGCTATGAACTTTGCAGATGTTGGTCTGGCTCCATTCATCTGCTGGTTCAAGGGCTACCAGAAAGTGGGAGGATTCGTGCTTCCAGGCCCGGAAGAATGGCCCAATCTCCACAAGTGGGTAGACGCTGTAAATTCCGTGGACGCGATCAAGAAATCCACTCCAAGCCCAGACAAGGTTGCTGAATTCGCTGAGGTTATCAGGAAGCGAGTTCTCGGGGCTGCCTAAAACACTGACGGTTTTCAAGATACATGCTGTTTTCGATTCATCATCTCGATGGGTAAACAATAAAAAGTACTTCAAATAAAGAACGTCTCTGACAGGTTCTTGCTCCAGAAATTTCGTCGAACGGCGATTTTTTACTACCGTCAACACATCAACACTTGCATTCTCTCTCTCTCTCTCTCATTCACAATAGTGTCCATGTGGCAGTTTTCTATTGGTTTATCTTTAAATATACATCCCATTGCAATGGGTGCCCCATGGATGCTAGCCCGATGGGTGGATGATAAAGTATAAAAACATTTAGTTTACAATCGCAAATGAAAAGAGAGATCCAGATAGGGGTAACATATCTGGAAGTGGGGGATGGGGGATATTTATTTATATGGCCCTTGGGGAGGAGCTGGGGTTGTCCCACTTTGTTTGATATCGATACCGACTGTGAGGATGGAGTAGAGGTAGAAAGAGTTTTAACTTGTCTGCTTCAATCCAGATTTCTTCGTTTGATCCCATCTATCCAGTTTTTCTGCTTGTGAATTGCCAATCTTGGAGTGGAGGACAATGCATTTTTCGAGTAGCAGCAGCAACGCTCTCACTCATCATGGCTTTTAGCTTTCACTCTTCTGGTCATCCATATCATGGGACTCTTTCTCTTGCATCGCCCAGAAGAGGTGACTTCCAAGCTCCACACGACTCCACAGTTGATTCACATGCTCATCCACCAGTGCCCCGTGCTTGTCATCCGTGCAAGCTCTTGCTGTGTGAGCCTAGTTGTGAGGGAGCTCTTCTCCAAGCATAACATGGGTCATTGCTATGGGCACCCATCTGTGGCATAAGGATTGGATATTAATAAAATATCCTATGCCTGTGTTTTTGATACTCATATTACACATGGACCAATAACAGCCAGACACATATTGTGAATGAAATATGCCACTGTAATTTCTACCTTTTTATGAATTACATGTTACATTTCTCTTTCTCTCTCTCTCTCTCTCTCTCTCTCTCTCTCTATCTGTGTCTCTTGTGTGTGTTAGGATTAGCCTTTTTATTAAAATCTTATCTTTTAAATTCTCCTTTTATGTTTATGGAAGCTTCTGTTTAGAAATATGTTTTACAAATTTACATAAACAACTATAAACTAAAAGTATAGAAATAGTAATGAGAAGCTAACACTTTGTTACTATATGATTAAACAAACACTCTCCAGAAATCTTTTATTCATTGCTGAATGTTCTTTTAAAGGTTAATTCTTGCCTAAATTATAACATTTCATAATTTTGAATTTTTATTATTTTCATTATTGTGCATACATCTATATATGGCAAAACCTTTTATGTATAACAAATACTTACCACATTGCTATTGTTTTCATATTTATTAGCTTAAACTTTTACTACCTAATAGTTTTATATATTTAACAAAGTAGCTCAAGTTAAATTCTTTTCCTATACAGATATATATTAAAGATATATGTTATAATTTTTTTTATTTTCTTATATAAAAATTACTTTAATTTTATAGAGGTTAAGAAAACATTAAAAATTGCCAATTTTGAGGAGCTCTACCTCTGAAATGAATATTGTTTATGTTTTAATTATTTTAATTAATATTTAATTTTTATTATCAATTAATATCAATTATTATCAATTATCAAGGTACACTTTGGGCCTCACAATACTTAATTTAAGATTTTTTAAATTAATTATTGTGAGGTCCAAAGTGTATGGCTACAATGTGTATACTAATATTAGTGTAATAGGATTTTGATAGCTGTTGGATTGGTTTCAATCTAAACCAGTTGTTCCTCTATATAAAATGGGTTTTTGGGCTAATTAATATGCACATTTTTATATTCAATTTCCATATTCCATACACTCACATTGTTGGAGATGAGGGGCAATTTTGATTGTCCCTAAGAAGTGTTTGAATTTAGGATTTTAATTTAGATATAGCTTTTGTATTGTTTATCTCCCTTTCCTTATAACTTTTTCAAATTTTTTTTTTTGCTTTTTTTTTTTTGTTCATCTTCATTGCAAAGTAGCAGCCTCTTATTTCTTTGACTTTAAAGTAGTAGTTGTTGCAGTTGCTCAATGCTATATGGTAATAATTGAATAATCAACTCAATTGATAGTGGCATTTACAACATATGGTATAGCTCCTCTTGCTTTTGATGCCAATCCTCGCATTTGGTTAAAATTCTTCTATATGAGTCTTGGGAATGATGTGTACCATTAGTTAGATCACTTTATAGTGATTGCCACATATCATTCTTGGGATAATACTTTACATTTGCATGAGTTTTCTATGTGTCTCCAAGGGATAGTGTTACAATAGTATAATGGTTTGAATGCAATCACTTGTGAAAATTAAAGCAATGTAGATGGCAACATGTGGCAATAGGCTAAGCAATAAAAGATAAACTCGAACCAACACAGAAAAAATAATAAGAAACCCTTTGTTACAAAAATGAGTTTGGAAAGTAAACATTTGATGAACTAGAACCAAGTGAACCCTTTAATGATACTCCTGAAAGAAAGATGGAGGGGTCACTGATTTATTTGTGTAAGATCCTTTTGTTATTTGAGTGACTCGGTGTCTAGTCCTTCTATTGCAACAACACCAACAAGACGTTGTTGACACCAAGGTCTCCACTTAGGAAATGGAAGTCACCAATCTGAAAAATGCTAACAACGCTAATAAATGTGACCAACTTCATCACACCTAACAGTGGATATCACGGCCATGACCATGTCCTTGCCCTTATCTTTGAACTCAAGCAGCAACAATATCAACCTTAATTAGAACATGACTATCTCCCACAAAAAGTGAAGCTAAAAGATGTGCAACAAGAAGTGGAAGAGACAATGTTTTATAACGTTATGCCAAGTAAAGAGCATCGTAAAGGGTGGCTGGAGCAAGTGTATACACAAGTTTTACAAAATCTTAATGAAGTGTTAACCACAACATTCTTAATTTGATCCACTTCGATATATTTGGCTCCGTAAGAAGCAAAAGGCTTTGGAAACAAATACCAACCTACATCACTGACTCAGATGGCTCTTAATAAAAATGATACAATTTTTGGAAGGCATCATCACAATCATTGGCATATTCAATCTCAACTAACAATATTCTTTCTTTACTGCCACAACGGTAGAAGGTTAATATTGTTGGACCCTTTATTAGTTTCCACCTAAGCTAGTTGAGAAATTGGTCATCACATGTGCATTTAGACCAAAAGGGCATTAAGGAAGGAAATCCTAAGTTGTCATTTAGTCAAGCATATTTGACACAATAATGAAAAATTCATGTTATTAGCTTGCACTTGTTAGTGTTGGGAACCCTTGCAATATTGAACTTGGTCCCTCAATATTCACTAGATGATAGTTTACCATGTTTGCTAAACACCCTCGCTATCACACCTTATGTTAGTACCATTTGATGAATAGTGGTGAAGTGTTATACCATTGTGTCTAAGCTTGTTATTGAAGATTTGGGTTACAATGCTCAATTCTTTTTCAGGGAATCTAACTTTTTAGTTTGGTTGGAAAGAGAGTGGCATGAGTTTGTCTATGTTATGAACAAAAGTTAGTGGTCTTGAGTATTGTATATCTTTATCAGTGGGATGTGGCATTTATATTGCATTTTGTTGAATCAAGTTAGCATTTGATACTCATGTAAGCTTTTGAAGTAATAATGTAGGCATGCTCATGGTGTTGCTTAATTGATAATCAAGTCATTGTGATTTTTATATTATATCCATGTGATAATGAGTAATATGTTTACGAAGTTGCTTGGTTAAATGATGATCAACCCCAAAATGGTTGATGGTGAAGCTAATCGACTTACATATAGTAGTATTGAAGTAGTTTTAACTAAGTTTTAAATAGTGATCCATTATGCTAAGCTTCCATCAGTACCTTGTTTCTTTGAGGGGTTGTCTATTAAGGTGTTGGAAAAGGGTTGTAGCATTCATTTGCTATAATTCGTCAGTTAATCCATTAGCACTTTGAATAGATTGTTGGATGGAGAAGATGTATAGTTAAGGCATTAACTTTGCTAGCACTTATGCTGGTAGAGATGACATTATTTTGTTGAGTGATGAGAAACTTTCTTTAGAGCTTGATTTTGTATATCATTTTTCTTGTTAGTGTTTTGGCTTTATATTGGATCTTGAAAGTGATTGATAAAGAGTATTAGTGCAATATAGATATTTAAAGATATGGTCTTCATGATCAAGCTTTAGATGTTCATTTTGCATTTTGTGGATGTCAGTGTTAGATGTTGGAAATATGGGTAAAGATGTTCAATGCTTAGACATACTATTAAATCATAAAAATTAGTGTTAAAGTGAACCTATATGAAGTTGTTAGTAGGAGGAAGTTGGTTGTCTTGAAAGTTTGTATTCCTAGAATGGAGTCATTCTTTCTCTAGGATGGAAACTTTTCCACAAATTTTTTTAAGCTTTTCCAATGGCTGATCTATTGATCACTTTGCTCAAAAACCATTCTGTTTTCATAAGCCTGTACAAACTAGTAAAAGGGTTAGAATTGACTTTGGTTAGCCTAAACCTTAGTAGGTAGTTTGTATGATGGGATGCTAACTTTTGAAGCTAAAACAATTGAGTTGCATAGAATTTAAAGTTAGTATAAAAAAGTGGCCATTATGCTTTTCTAAAAAGGTGACCCTTGTGCCTTTCTTTTATAGTGTTGTTGTCACGAATGTGACTTTAGGTATCAAAAGTTATCTGTCAGCTAGTCCTTTCGGATATTCTTTCTTTACTGCCACAACGGCAAGAGGTCGGTATTACTAAACCTGTTAGTAGTTCCCACTTGAGGTAGTTGAGAAACTGGTCAATGAACATGCACTTAAATTGGATAAACATAAAGTAGGAACCCTATGTGTTTTTTGCTGAGCATACTTGGCCTGGTTTGAGAAATTTATGTCATTAGCTTGCACTTGCTAGTGTCAAGAACCCCCGTGATATTGAGCTTAGTCCCTCAATATCACTAAATGATAGCTTACCATGTCCGTCAAACACTCTCGCTATCATGCCCTTTGTGTTAGTTTCATTTCGGTCCCAAAAACTATTTATGGAAAGTGTCTAGATTCGCTCATTTAGCACATCTATGGAATGTAGAGATTGTTTTGAACACAATGGTGTTCATCCCATGTCTAAATTCACAATCTAAGGACATTCCATGTTTAATAAGTTTTGAGCTTGTCCTAGAGACTAAATCCTAATACTAAAGAAAGTT